GATTCACTAACTTGTTATTTTTGTATTATAAATAAAATGTGTTATAGTTTTTTATAATAAACACAATTTTATAAAAAAATTGATTTTTTTGTTATAAAATCTCCAATAGAGATATTTGTAGAGAAACGTTTTTTTTCGTGTTTCAGTAACCTTTTTATGGTTGTTTGAAGATTTTATCATCACTTGGAAGATATTTAACGAAATTTTTCTGGCAACACTGATGAATACTTGTATCAATTGAATAGTCGGATCGAGGCGGGCGAACATGGGTGCTGGTTAATCGATTTACTAAATATGCGAAAGCTAGAAATTTGATTGGCAAGCCACACTTTCATTGCAATGCCAAACGTTTACTATGATACAGCGCGGCCGAAATGGTGACATACCTTAACCAGTGTCCAGGTGGCGTTGGTACTTACGCTTGTGGCGCTAATGAAGTATTTTAGGTTAAATTTGCTAAATGGAATTCTATTGGGAGAAGCAAGTCAAGTTTTCCATGGCTTTTCTACTATTCGTTCAAATATTTATTTTTATTGCATGGCAATTAACACTACATGCCTTACTAAATATTCAACTGCATACACACATACATATTTACCAACAACCTTGGGGAGGTGTGGCTGGGGTATGCGTCACACCCGCCCTAGGAATAGCTACTTATATGAGCTGAACTTGATTGAGTGACAGTTAATTTATGTAAGTGTCAAGCGGTAATCATTTACAAAGCTTGCCAAAGCCACACATTCAACGTAATTTGTTTGCATAATCATTGTGAGCAAGTGAATAATCAGGCTATTTACTAGACAGTGTTGATAAGCAATTCGATTGCTAATCGTAAATAGATGAATTTAGTTAATTATCCAATGCATATGTGCATTTGTCTCATTTTCATGATATGGGGCTAAGAGTAAATATGGAGTAATAATACTAAGCAAATCCAGGAAAACTGAGTTTACATATTTACTAAAATATACAAATACTTACTACATAGCGCATGATTATTCCAAATATTTGCTGTATAATAAATATGTACGTATGCAATTTATTTGCGCATAATTACTGCTATGGATATGATACTATATGTTGTTTCGATTAATTTATGCAATATTAACGAAATTATGTGACACACATGCATATGTATATTTATAATGAAATCATGTCACAAAAGTTAAATAAATTAGTGTAACGGAAGCACCAAAGAAATGCTTTTGCTTGTAGTTCAAGGTTATCGTTTGATTGCCATGAAGTGAAGGCAAATTAATCTTCCTCTTGCGATAGAAACGACTTTTAAGTTTGTAGTAGGTTATGCAAGTGAAAAAATTATAGTTAATTCGAAATGAACCACATTAGCTGCCAGACTACAGAAATGCAAAATTTAAGTGTCAATAATAACACTGGTTTACAGCAAAAATGTTTTATGGACGCCACTATCCAATTCCTATGTAGAACTGCTCGGTGATTCCGAAAATCGAGTTAATTTTTTTTTATGCATACGTTTTCGAGATATGTATTTGCAATTTACCGTTATTTAGCGTAAAGCAAAAATTGGTTCCGTTTCTTAAGAACCAATTTAACAATCTTAATATAAAATAAGGCAAATGAAAGCCAATGAAATTCTCCATCGGGCTTATAGTTTCTGACATATTAATTAATCATTCCAGCTTTTTTTAATGAAAAAAAAATCAAACTTTAACAGAAGAAAAATTTAAATAATAACAGGCTTTGTGCCAATTTTTTTGCATTTGTACTAAAGCCTGTTCTGTTACAAAAAAAAAAATCAGGTTACTGATAAAGAAAATCGATGGATAAATACGAAATAATGAGTGGTCACATGAAAATGTACAAGGATTTTTTGTATGAAAATTGAGCACGAAAGAATGTTACTCATACGCCATGCTTTTCTGCTCATATTTCACACAAAAAATCTTTGGACATTTTCATTAGACCACTCATTATTTCGTATTTATCCATCGATTTTCTTCATCAGTAACTTGATTTTTTTTTTTTGTAACAGAACAGGCTTTAGTACAAATGCGAAAATTTTGCACAGAACTGTTTTTTTTTTAATTTTTCTTCTGTTAAAGTTTGATTTTTTTAAATTTTTTCATTAAAAAATAAAAAAAGCTGGAATGATTAATTAATTTGTCAGAAACTATAATCTATAGTTCGTGATATTTTTACATTGGCAATTTGTTAGATTTTTGGACTGTTGAAGAGAAATTGCTGTACTTGTTGCAACTTTTTTTATAACTCCAACTAATAATAAAGTAATAAAAACATTTCAAAATTTTTCCGGGTCTACATACCGGTTAGACTCGGGTTTCACCGGACCAAGGGCTGTTGTTTCGGCGACCTAGCCCCGTTTAGATCGGTGAACCGCAGGCATTTTGTTATTTTTGTGTATTTTGATTTAAAGTTGCAACTTTTTTCCAAACTTCTTCACTTGGTTTCATAGGACTGGTATTTCAGAAATTAAGTAGATATGTATGTATGTATATACATATGCACCTATGTAGATATATGTATGTATGCAAACATTGGGATGTATTTACAAACATACAGGTAGCGCTTTCCCTACCAAACTTTACTTTTCCCATTAATTTTTTATGAAATTTATGGAAATTTGATGAGGCTGCAAATTAAAATAGGCATACTGCGCGAGTGCAAATGATACATACACATAAATGTACATATGTACAGCTTGAATTTGCAATTAAATATGTATGTAAATTATAGTTGCGTTCCCCAACTTTTCGGGGTTAAAACCTATAAAACTGTCAAAAAGCAAAATAAGCCAGAGCCGAGTACGGGAACGCTTTCTGGTAAATTCCTGTAAATTCTTGCAACTTCTTGCGATTTAGGGAACGCAACTTATGTAAATAAACATTGTATGTACTATATCTATGTATGTAAATTAAGTATACGTGAAATATACAAAAGGTCGCATTATCCAGCAGATCAAGTTCTATTTCTTGACAAAGAATACCGCTAGCTTAAGGCCTGTATGCAGCTCTTAAGAAAAGCAAAAACTCCATATAAAATGACGTACAAGAAATGGCTACGAAATTTTCTTGAGTCAAATTTCCTTAAGGCAGTACGCAGTTCTTAAGGAAATTGCTACGCTTTCTACTACGGTTTTCTAAAGTTTTTTGTGAAAAAAGAGCACAAGGCGACCCAGGTTTGCAACAGAAATATATCAATGGTGTATGGTGGCACTACATACCATTTTTTCTTAAAAAACGAGAGATACAAATTTTTTCTTTCCACAACAAATTTACAACAAAAAAGATACAATTAATTCCGTTATAACATTTTCAATATCTCAATGCAATCGACTAGGTGTTTGGTGTCAAGTTAGCACTACATACCATTTTTTCTTAAAAAACGAGAGCTAAAAATTTTTTCTTTCCACAACAAATTTACAACAAAAAAGCTACAAGTAATGCCGTTATAACATTTTCAATATCTTAATTCTATCGACCATGATAAAAACATAGTAAGGTAAAACCGTTCAAATTTACAAAAGAAATTTCACTACTAATTGCCTACTTTGCGTACTTTTCTACTACCATTTTCGCAACAAGGGATTGCATTCTTCTCCTTTCTCTGTCCTTCGTAAATACAACCTTCTGTAAGGGAGTGTCAAACCACGGCTGCCAAAAATTATCTAACATTGTTTTATTGTATCAAAGTCAAAAGTTTTTTATTGAGACTACCTTCTTTTTACCTCCCTTTTATTAGCTCGGGATGTAACTATGTAATATTGATGCGCCTAAAAGATGAAGCGATTTGTATTCTCAAGTTACATACCTGATAACATTACGAATGGAAATTATAAGAGCGAGGTTTTAGGTTTTTAAACTATAATCTTATTTGTATCATGCTACATACCATTTTTGGGTACTCTATGAATTTGTACAACGATTTCGGGTTGCTGTGACCAAACGCGTGAATCGAATCAAAAACCTTTTACACACACTTGTAGACAACAGTTCACGCTTTATTACAAAAATAAAATTTACTATAAATATCTGTGCACTAATTTATTAATAATGCCGGTTGGAAATATGGTATTTTTTGTAAGTTTCCGAGCTGAGCTGTCAAAAAAAAAATATCCACGAAATATCTCTGCAAAAGGTGTTCAGCCCCTCTTCTTTAGCAAAACAGAAAGGAGAATTCTACTTAGTGCGGGTTATAATCCCTAAGCTCGGCGGAAGGCCGCCTACGCAGAAAGGTATTCTCTGCAAAAGGTGTTAAGCCCCCCTTCTTTGGCAACACAGAAAGTAGAATTAATGCCGTAGTTAACTTTTCCAATTTCGAAAAGTGTAGTGCTAACTTGACACACGTAAACGAATCAGAGGGGTTCGATCTTTATTAAAAAATTTCGTACTATTTTGGCCTTATCGGATTTTCCTAGCTTCTTTTAGACTTAGCAAATTTTCCTTTCATTAAATATAAACGAGAAAAAATTTAACAAGTACATTGATGCTTTTCGAAACAATACATTTCAAATTTTACTAGCCTACTGTATCAAAATATGAGTATTCATAAAAAGTTGACTTAGCAACTTTTTACTCTAAGCTAGCGATATATCTTTTTAACCACAGGTTTCCTACCCAATTTTAATTCCACTTCGATGCCTATAATCCAAAAAGGCAACAACGAACTTCAATCCAAACATAAACAAATGTAAATTCAACAACAGCATTCACAAAGTGGCAGCGCTGTTAACCACAGATTACAACTCACCACAAAGCATAATGACGATTTTGACATTGCGCTCTTCACACACTGTTCATGTTGAATTTGCTACCTGCGAAAGGATGGAGAAAATCCGTCAGCTGCTGCGTGGTGAAATAGTGACCAAATGGTGAAGTTTATTCATTTTTTATGCCTACATATGTACATACATTTCACAACTAACTAAACTTATAACATCCTTTTAATTCAATGGAACTCTTCTATCAATTCTATGTAACCAAGAAGATATACATACATACCTGGTCGATCCAGTGACTGTCGGCGACTCATTGGCAATTTTTTTTAATGTTTCAGTGGAAAAGAGTTGACTACGAACTTCGCCCAGTTTCTACACTTTTAATAGAAAGGAGCGTTGTGCTTTCCTTCATTTGCAATAAATGAAGGGTGTAGCTTTCGTTGTTAGGGAGTCAAAATCAAAATCATCACTCACATTTCTTCCCGATCACTTTAAATGCACTAATTGTACGTAACATCTTCATTATTTTTAAGGCCAATGCAATGTTACTAGTACAATCGGAAAGGTATATTTGCGGGGATGGAGCAGACACTTGCACATACATATGTACCCTTGGGTAGCGAGTTCAGTCTTGGTGAAAGCACTACGCTGAGGAACCGTAAAAGCACCTCGAGAACCCACTCACAATTCTCCTGAATACGGAAGACGTTACGGTAGACGTGACACCAGAGACACCGAATCCGCTGCAGAGTCTAGTGTCTTCTTCCTTTTTCATATATTGCTTTTTATTCATGCTTCGCGCTCATGGTAAACACAGCAAAGCTTGCTTTCAAATTCACTTGTTTATACCTATTTTTAGAAAATCCAATACTTTTCACAAATCTTCTGCATGCAGTCGCATGAAATTTACACAAACGCGGTAAGCAGACTTCGTATTCTACGTTATTGTTGTTGTTGTTGTAGCCGAACAAAAGGAATTTGAGTGGTGAAAAAGTCCAATGTAGAAAATTTTGGCAGTCCATTTAGAGCGCATGGTGAATTGTCCACACAATAAAAACTTGTAAAGTTCACAATGAAAACAAATTTATTTGTCTTGTAGTTTTTTGTGCATTTACACTTCACATCGGTATTCATCATTTCTCAGCACATATCGACGGCGATAAATGAAGGCAACGACGGCGATGGCTAGTGCGCATAATACACTTTCCCCGTCTCTTTTATGCATTTATTTCTATGATAGAGAAGAAAAACCAAAGCAAATGGGCGCAAATAGTGTATTTTTCTGCAGTTTTTTCCGATGCTCAAGAATTTCTCTTTGCTGAACAATAAAAATCATGTGCGGCAAATTTAACCTGTTTTGCAATATGAACTTGGCGTTTTTGACGCTGAAAAGCGCTTACACTGTTTCTTGCAAATAAATTTATTTAATGGCTTTCTCTAAATTTTTCGCACTCGAGAAACTGCATGATACAGCCACGGGACAAGGAACTGAGGTGGGCACTTTTCACTGAAACACTTTATTGCTTTTGCGTTGCATTTTCACACAAAGTTTTTAACATTAAGTTAAAAGGGCACACTTAACTACAGTTCAATGCATTTTTTACTTAAAAATAATTTATTTGTTCACAAAAAATCGCAACTTTTCACAGGAACGTCTTCGTAGTCGCCTTTCAACTCCGTGCCGTTGTGGCAGACGTTGTGGTGTTGCCAGCCGTATAGATACAAAAGGAGTGGTGTGAAAGGATAATTAATATGAAGGCTTTTAACGTTCTGCACCAATATATATAATTTTGCGAATTCTTTATTATAGATATCGTTTGAAATTAGCTCATAATGCCCGGTTTCGCTGGTTTATGCCTAGATAAATACATTTTTTTATTACTAAAAGTGGCAGCACTTTTTGTGAACGCAACAACAACAACGCAAGGAGAATAAGAAACAAGGCAGTGTGTGCAAATGTTGTCTCTTTCTGTTGCCCGGAAATTATGATAAAGTTGGTGATAGTGCATGATTTAATAATTATCGAAACTTGGTAATCATGAACCAAAAATGTCTTTCGTTCATGCATGGTAAAGGCCTGTATGCAGCTCTCAAGAAAAGCAAAAACTCCATATAAAATGACGTACAAGAAATGGCTAAGAAATTTTCTTGAGTCAAATTTCCCTAAGGCAGTACGCAGCTCTTAAGAAATTTACTACGCTTTCTAGTACGGTTTTCTAAAGTTTTTTGTGAAAAAAGAGCGCAAGGCAACCCAGGTTTGCAACAGAAATAAATGCCCGATCCATTATTTCTTGAGGAAAGAGTGAGGCAACAGGCTGTGAAGTATCAAAAATGTCAAAATTCCTTGGACACACACGCGAAACAATAGCAATTTTTTCTTGGCCGTTTTCTTGTGAGCTGCATACAGGGCTTAATAGTGTGTTAAAGTTTCTAAGAAATTCTTGCGGATTCAGTAAAATGTATAGTTTCAAACAGTGTTGCCGTTTTAATAGATAAGTATCAAATTGGATACATTTTCGCCTTAAATTTTGAGGGATAATTCGATTTTTTCTTCAGTGTAAATTTGGATCCCATTTCCCATAAGGATTCGTAAGTTCAAGGAATTTTTTTATTTATCTACGAGCTATTATAACACTTTTAACCGTTGGCTCTTCTTTCTCCAAGCAAGAAATTTTCGATTATTGTTGTCACTTTGAAAAATTAAATTTTTTGCTACACAACCGTGCATTTAATAACACCAAGTAAGTTGCAAATTTTAAAATGTTTTCCAACTGAAATTTTAAGAATCTAATTGTACTACTACGTAGTTATATTCAAAATTAAGTCGACACTAAAGTTAGTTGCAGTTATTTTGACAGATATCCCATTGAAAATTATGACAAAATGCTGCAATGAACTTTA